TGGAACCGAAGTGCTGTTGATGCAAAAACTAAAAATTGAAGAATTCCCAGGTGAACTAAACCCAAGAAATGGTGGGTATACGAGGATTGTTGAGCAACTTCAGTAAGGTGTGCAAAACTTGCAGAGAGATCATATTGACACCTGAATGCAAGTACTGAAAGACAAAGACAATGCCTTTAACCTCTTGTAAGGAGGTTTGATTATGGTAACAATTTTGATGACTATATCGAAAAGAAGTGTTATGGACGCATTTATACGATCTAAATAAGAGGTTAAAGTTCAATTAAATATGAAATTTTAATTAGTATTGAATTTCTAAATAGTTAATACGGAATCTTAATTAATATTAAATTCCTAAATAGCATATGATTTTTCATTAATATTAAACTTCTAAATAATATAAGATTTCTAATATTTTAGTAAAGTATTCCTAATTAAATTTACATTTCTAAATAAAAATTGTAATCTCTATATAAAAGGGAATAATTGCTATTAATAAAAACAATTCAAAATATTATTTTAAACTACGAGATTGGAGTTCTTTTTAACGAGATTTAAGGTAACAACTCTTTTTGATGAGCTCTAATCTATTTTAACAAAATAGGTCACTCAAGGAATCGTATCAAGGAGAAGAAGCAGATTCTGGAACTGGAAATTTCAGAGAACCGCTCAGTGACAAGATTTTACTCTCGGGAACATAACAAGAACTTATTGCCAAACTATGATCAATATAACACCAATCTCTACTGGTCTAGTACGTGTCAAAAGATTTTATGGCAAGAGAAATAAAGCTAAAAATTCACAGAAAACAGAAGGCTCAAATTAAATTTAGGTCTTTGGGATTATGTCTTCTCTTACTTAGGTGCAGTTTTATACTGTTAGTATAACCCTGTTAGGGTAAATAGAAAGATATAAGATTGTAATCAGCAGTTTCTCCAAATTAATATGATGTATACAGAAATTTTCTCTCAATTTCCCTGATTTCATACCAGAAGAGTTGGTTATTATATGCCTAGTGCTCTATTTTTCTCTCCCCCTGTGTCAGGGAGGCTTGGGCACTGAACTGCCCTAACAATGCAAGAATGACTTCAAATCCCAGATCACCAATAACCAAAATACCTTATATGCTTTCATAGACTGATCAGCAGCCTCTTTCCCGTCATCACCAGTCTTAAACTCCCCCAAGTACCTATAGTAATCACCTTTCCTGCAAAACCCAGAAACACATAAAAAAGTTACGCTCCCAAATAATCAAACATAAAACAGGCAAAAGCTCCAACCAGAAGCCACTCACATTTTATAGAAAAACACAGTGGATTCTCCACCAGAGCTGGATGGAATCAGATGCTCATCAATTACCATCATAACATCACTGCAAATTTCTGATAACTCAGACTCGACCTTTTGCCTATAGCCTTTAATCCGCCTCACATTTTGTTCTTCTCCTTTTGCCTCCTCTTTTTGCTCAATTGATGATAGTATCCTCCAAGATGCTCTTCGTGCACCTACAACATTCTTGTACCCAACGGAGAGGAGATTTCTCTCCTCAACCGTTAATTCCACATCCAGCTTAGCTACTTTCTTCATCGCATCAACCATTTCTGTGATAATTGAAAGCAGAAAAAAAGTTAAAAGGGGGAATTTCAGGTCATCTGTTTGGTTTTATAATAAAAGCCAAGTAAGAAGAAATTTAAACATTAGATCTCTTGACCACTGATTGCATATTAGACCAAGTAGAAATTATCGAGTTCATTGACTAATGTACCAATTTTCAAATGTCGAGAAAGGATAAAGCACAACAACCCTAGAGCATCATTTTGGTTGACAAGAGGCAAAATTTGAAAAATAACAGAAATCAACCACTCAAACATTGAAGATCGCATGAAAGAAGGTTCCAGCTAAATGATCATAGGGCAAGTAAATCTCATTGCGACGAAAATAAAATCAGACCTTGACAATGAAGAAGAACGATCTAAAACTGCACAATTTCAAACTCATGTTTTTTCCCCAGTTTTCTCGGCAACCAAACGCAAACCCAGGCACACACATATTTTATATATGTGTATGCCCGCTCCCGCGCACGCATAGATAGATAGATAGATATATATATATATATATAGAGAGAGAGAGAGAGAGAGAGAAAAGTTACCATCATAGCGCTCAGCTTGCTCAGCAAGCTTGGCGGTGTAGACATAGCTGTCCCGTTCCTTGGACATCTCCATAATTGCTCTTTCTCTCTCTTCGTATCTGTGTCTAATTGGACTGCTCTCTCTCTCTAGAGCATTCACTTTTACTATCTAGAACTTGACGAAGACCGAAAGAGAAAAGACGCTCTTTTCGATTTCCTCGATACTGCAAAGGTTTTAGGCAAGTTGCGCCGAAGACTTATGTTTCGAGTAAGAACCAGCGTCTGATCACGCGCCCTTGGCGGCGATGATGTTAGAATCGCCGAACCTCGTTCCTACGGGAGAAAAACAAGTAAGAGTATTTATTTAATAGAATATATATTTTCATAATAAAAATTAAATATAAATGCTTAGGTTTTTAATTCATAACCTAAAAAATCATAGTTAAAATATTCAATTTTAGTAGACATTTAGGTCAAATAATACTTCTCTACCTCCTTTAAATTGGAAATTAAATGTTCAATTGCAAAAATAATACAAAAAAGTGGTATTATCTCTTTCACTTACATAACTTATGCTTTAAATTTTATATTTATAAAATCTTATAAGAAATTTGTAGTATTATTAACAAATTTTTTTCTTATTTGTTTTAAATTTTTCTATAGTAAATAAAAGATAATAATTTTGATGAGTCGTGATAATGGTTTTATTTCGAGTTTTTTTATTATATTATTAATATATTTTATTTATATTTATGACATATTATTAACATATTTTATTCAACGAATTGGACAAATAATTTGGGGATACATTAATATAGACGTTATAATTTAGTTTAGTAACAAAGGTTAGATTAATTTTTTTGAGTTTCTTGAATCATAAACTTCGACCACCCAATTTAAAAATATATTGTTCGTCCATTTAATTAGATAAAATCTATGAACTTAATATTTTTTTAATATCTCATAAAAAAATTTTAATAATTTTTTGTGAATTCATTGATAATATTGTTAGGTAGATAAGAAGTAATTAGACACAGAATTCAAAACAAATTTAATTAGCACAAATCTCCCGCATAGGAGGGAGATTTTTGTTTCAATCTCACAAATTTATTCCTCATTCTCTTTAATAATTCTTTAAAGTTTTTTGAGTTTAGTCTTTCACTCAGAAAGTGTAGCCCCAAATATTTAAACATCACAATTTGATATATTTAAGCCTGATATTTCACTCAATTTATTTTTTAAATTATTCTTTATATTCTTACTAAAAAAAACAGAGAAAACTTATTTTTATTTACAGATTAACTAAACTAAGAACAGTATTTATTAAGACAGTCTAAAATCGCAATAATATTTCGTTGATTGACTTGGTAAAAGATAAGCAAATTAGATAATAATTAAATTTAATATATTAGTTTTAATTTAGATTCTAAAAAATTCTACTAATGGTTGTTTATATTAAGCTTGTTTTAAATTTTTAAATTTTACACATTTTATAATGAATTTCATTTTATGATTTTGTGATTAAATATGGTCACATACCTTCTACACATTCTCCCACAAAAAACCAAACAAGCAAGCACAAGATGCATATGAATTCAAGACTTATTTCTGATATAGTCTGAAAAAAGTAAGAAAAAAATTATAAAATAATGATTTGCAATGTAAACCAAATTACTTTTCATTATAAATATAATCATGTTGAAAAACAACAAAAATTATTTTTCTCCATCTTATCATTTGGTCTTTATATATCAAACTTTTAACTTAAAGTTCTGTATCAGATGGTAACTGTGGCTACAAGCTAGCAGCAATAAATGAGGAGTTCTCTTCTTGCTTTAGGCTGTCAGCAACATGAGCAACAACTCCAGCACCAGCATTGTGAAGCCATTCATTTTTAACCTGGATGTAAAGAAGGTAACTTTGAGCCTGAGTAGAAGAAGTAATCTGTAACAATAATCATAACACACAAGTAGACATTTCCCAAACCAAAACTGAAAACACAGTCTTACATGTATGTTGTTGTGAGCTAAATAAGGCCAGAACGCTGAATGAAAACTGACATCAACTTTTCTCCATCCTAATTTCTGCAAACCTTGAATCATTTCCTCTGCAAACAGATCAAAATGTTTGTCACTCTATATCAGGGCACTTCCTAATTTGTTTGCATAATTACCATGTCAAATGGTTTATGCTAGCAGACATAATTACCTTCCATAATTTCATGATATTCTACCGTGTTCTTGGTGTTCGGTGCATTTTGAGCTGCCTCCTTTGCTTTGACCGCTTCTGGAGGAAAATGCGGCCCATCAGAGTAAACTGGTGGACAGTACTCCACATCCACAACATGCTTGTAACCATCCAAAGATCGGTATGGAGGCTGCATCATGTATCCAAACATTAGAAATATAAATGAACAAGAAATGCATTTTTCAATAACTTTCATTTAATAATTTCAGTGCTGCTTATTCTACTCTTGAAAGCTTTGGCATCGTGCCCCCATAGAAGCACCAGTTATCAAGAAACAACATAGTTTGAAACATTTTATCAGGGCAATTCAAATCTTTTTACCATCTTAGTTCCACAAAAGGAGTCCCTTCCACCAGCCCGCCAAGAAATTGTTCTAATTAAATGAAATCCTAGAATGCAGGTTTGCATTTATGGTGACTGTTGAATTGGACTGACAAACTGGAAAACCAGTCACAAGTAAATATAGTAATACAAATAAGAAAAATGTCAAAGTAATGCAAAGAAAAATATTTTAATTTCTAATAATAATTCAAATGTACCTTGAAAAAGAATAATACTTTGAATCCACTTAAATAAGGAAAAGGAATCTTGTATAATGGATACTTATTAATATAGTATAAAATTTTCACTTATAACTGGAAAAACATCACTCCATAAATTTTATTGGTTAACTCAAAATTTCGTCAACCTACAAATAAAAATTTGATATCATATTACTTACGCCTGTTACACAAAAGGATTCCTTACTAAAGTTGGATTTACTATATAATATTAATAATAATTATCAAAGGCTTCCTTAAAACTAAAATAATTCTGATTTACGATCTTATTCTACATAAATAAGGTTTAACGCAGGCCAAAGAGCCTCAAAGGTGGGACTTTACACCACTGCACTCAAATAAGTATTGGAAACAGGCACATTATTTAATTAGATTTATAGTTCAAGAATCATCTGACAGCTCACCTTAAAAAGTTCTGTTTCCCTTCTTATTGAAGATGTGCGCCAGCCAACCATATCTACTTATGTCAAAGAAAGCAACTCAGTTGAGAAACAGAAAATTAGCAACCATGAAGTTTGAGCACGCTCAGCTTATCATAATTGAAATTTGTTAAAAGTTCACAGGATACGATCATAAGATACATTAGCATAAATGATCCGATGTCTAAATGCACCTAGTGCGGATCTGCAAGGTGATGAAACACATTAGAGACTACAAGAATGATTTGGCAAAGAAGGTAGTAGTCCATCTGTTGTAAATCAACACTTACAAAAACTTTCCATCTTCGCAATCAGATGCCATTCTCAGAAGGAGAGGTGGTTTTTCTGGTCTACCATCAGTAAGGAACAGTTGACTACCAGTTTGGCCAACCAAAAAAGGAGCTATTGGTGCAGCAAGTTTTTCCAAAATAGGAACTCCCAAGAGAAAAGGAAGCTGAAACAGAAAGTTTTTTTCAAAGACTTACCAATGAAATCATAGGAACTTCAGCCACTGGTAGTAGCAAATAATAGTTGCCAGAAATGATATTCTTTAAAATGATTCTAAATATATGTATACTACAGAGAAATTCAAGCAGAACATAATCTGAAATAACCAGTACAACAAATTTACTGAAAGCCTAAACAACAAATTTGTTTGGACTGTTGAAGTTGTTTTCGGTCAAGTATTGAAAACAAATATGAATTGATCAGAAGTACGAGTATGATTAACAGAGTAAAAAAAGCAACAATTACTAGTTAGACAATCGAACACTTTATCACATTTTCCAGATCATATTTCAAAGTTCCATCCACAATGAAACAACTATTAACTCTCAATTTCTATTAGCTTGATCATAAGCTTAAGATCCAACAGGAACATGTTAATACTCAAGTCAAATAAGAGTAATACTGAATCTAAATGCTTCCTCTGAAAATTTGTGCTGCTTGATATGATGAGAACATAATGAACATAATAGTGCAAAAGAATAAGGAAGCGTGAGAAAAAGGAGTATGACACAGTGAAAATGCTACGAAAAATGTAGGATTGTTGCACAGCATTAAGATGAACATGAAAGCAAATAACTGGCTGGACAAACCTGTTTTCTGCCTCTCACTCCAAGATGAGGCGTTGCCAAGGTAATAAAATTGATTGGCTCCAATCCAGCTATTGTACCGCGTCTCATAGAGAACTGTGTTTGTGAATTATTAGTGTCACCAGCTTGGACAAAATCTGAGTCATTTGTGGCATAGAGAACAGAAATGGCATATCTCGCAAACAAGCCACCGAGAGAATGGGCCAGAAAGGAGATCCTTTTCAGACTCTCTGTCTTCTTCACAACTTGCATAATCTGTTCTTTTCTCATTGGAAAAGAAAAAATCATAGGATACACAGCAAAATCAGAATTCACACAAAGTTATAATCATGTAAATTTTATATGGACTGAAAAACTTACCTCATCTGCCAATCGCTTTCCTGCTCCATCAATCCCAGCAAAAGTTTTAGTGAATGTGTTGGATGAACTTGCTGCACATAGGAAAGGGCTATATACTTTTCAACAGATAATATCAAACTCTTACATGAATATAACAGACAGAAAGAAGAAACACAAAGATGAAAGGGTCAAAGTCATCATCATTTAAGAACCCAAAAAATTTGTTTCATTAGGGCCACACAGAGGACTGATGATCAATAAAGAGTGAAGTTTTAGTCAAAGAATGCAATCACATATTCTCAGATCCTCCCATGACCTGTCAAACAGTGTCATTTTCATTAAAACAGCAGTGCATCACATGTAAATACATGTTCCCTATGTTTTGGGATGTTATTATGGTCTCCACTTAGGATCTTGTTATAGGATTTTAATCGATGGTATGGACTCATTAAGAGAAAATACAACAATCTCTGGGAGCAAGAAAATACTCCAGAAACTATTTTCTAAATTCTTCTCCTCGTGCTGTATCAAAACTAGAATCACGTTTTTAAGGATTACAACAGTGCATTATAACTGCTTTCTCAATGATAGGAACTACCACCTTAACAATACCACGACTGACCATATAATATTCAAATATAAAAACTGGCAGATCCGTTATCAACTAATTATACTTAAGATACAACTGCCAACCAAACACAAAAAACAGTTAAACATTGGAACAAAATACTCTGTGGGTAAGTCTTCTTATGCTTTCCATGAGAAAACCTTCTGTAGAGTTGGCTGCTGAATGGTATCACTGTCACACCAAATTCTTGTGCAGATCCTTGCGAATTCATAACATGTTAAGTTTCCAAATTTTCTACTTTTATATCATTCATATATCATACAGATAAAAAATACTGCACATAACACTGATGAACATACCGAAAATTAAAAAGCTTCTTCCAAGCCGCCTTTTCAACTCTGCTTCTACATATGTCCAGTCACTTGGGCTGCAGAGAAAACATGCCTAATAAATCCACAAACGGTTGAATATAAAAGGGAAAAAAACTGCAAACAAGAATTTCACGTTTTTAAATCTTCACATTTCAACTCTATGCCAAAAGGCAACAATGCACATAAGAGAATTAACTTCAGTTAATTTGTTCAATAGACTACGTACCTGCCTCAAAAAGTAATCAATTTAGAAATGGTAAATTACACAACAGGGCCTTCTAGTTTGACCTATAATGTAGTTACCATTTATTTTCAAAATATGGACTTTCTCATTCATGTTGTAGAAAAGTCTACATTTATGCTCCTCATTTCTAACCACTAATCAACCTCAACATATTTTTAGAAGTTCCCAAAATATAAGATTCTCTCATGCATAAGAATGCAGTTTAACACTTAAGTTTATCTCATAACGAAATTTAAGTGATCAAAAGTCTCAAATAAATGAAATTTTATTTGGTATAGTTAACTAAAGTTGTTTAAAATTTATTTTAAAGGATTACAATTAGTTATATTTTCACTTTTAATTATTAAATTTTATCTAATACTAAAAAGCATTAAAGAAAATAACTGTCTAGTTCCTTTCTCCAATTCCTCCATTAGTTGTTAAATTTAAGAAGCCATCATTGACTTTCTTATTTGTTAGCTGTCAATATGGAGTCTTTTCAATATTAGTTATATGGAAAATTAAATAAAAGATGAATTTTAAATTTAATAAATTATATATTTATTTGATATTTCAAATTGTAATAAATTATGTTTTTAATTTACTATAAATTTGTACAATTATATGTTTCATATATACTAAATTTTCTTTATTTATGGATAAATAAGTTCATTTTATAATCTAAAAAGAAAAAGGATGGGATATTTTGGGATTTCTAAAGAATCATAAAAGTATTCAGCTGTTTTTAACTCAATCTAACAGATTGTATTAACTTTGAGGATACTTTACAGGGTTAATGGAATTTTCCCATTTAAAAGATGCAGGTAGGTGCATCTGGAGGTTTAGTTTCAAAAACTATTGCATCTACCATAAGTATTAGAGACATACTAAATTTTAAGAAAAAACTACTACCCCTGTAATAGTATGTCTTGATTCTATAAGTACCAGATGTTCACTAAATAACAGAAGTATCACCAGAGTCTAAGAAATATGTTATCCAAGTCAAATCTCTCCTAAAAATTGCCATTTTCTTTACTCTCTCTAAACAAGAATCCCCGTTACCCTTGCAATAGTATGTCTTGATTCTATAAGTACCAGATGTTCACTAAATAACAGAAGTATCACCAGAGTCTAAGAAATATGTTATCCAAGTCAAACCTCTCCTAAAAAATGTCATTTTCTTTACTCTCTTTAAACAAGAATCCCTACAAGTATCAGTGCCTTCTGATATTTGGGGCAAATGGATAGATGATGGATGTACAGAGGTAATATCTAATGTTCACTTGCTGGAATGAACGAGAGACTTGAACTTCTCCAGAATCAGTTACATCTAACATATACAGAATGCAACTGTTTATTGATCCATTGAACACAATTTCATACTTTAGTTCCTCAACATCATGTAAATTAGGGATACGCTACCACATGAACTTATGATCATACCTGGCCAAGATGCCATGAACAAGAACAAGAAGATGATCAGGCTCAGTTTTTTCATTCACAAGGCCCCTGGAGGATGCAAAATTTCCATGAGCCATAGCACTCATTGCGTGAGCTATAAGGCTTTGATTTTTCCAATTATTAGTTGTACCTGCACAAGACTCAAGCCAAAGAAAGGAAGAAGGGGAAAAAATCAAACATTCAATAGATAAACTGAAGATATTCACCATGCAAAGCAAATAGGCAAAGCCTTCAGAAAAAAGCAAATATCGGTCCCTAGACAACCCGAGCTAAAAGTCAAAAGCACGCATTCCAAGTTGATGATAAAGCTCTGAATTTTGGCCCTCAACAAGCCTAGTTAGTTTTTCATTGCTTTCCATGGTAATATGCCAATAACAGGTAATATTTGCCTTGTAAGAGAAGATAAACCGTATATTACTCCACCTACTCCCCCCTCCTCCTGACCCCAAAAAAAAGGGAGGAAAATCTCAAAATATATTCTTTAGCAACACGTAGCTGAGAACCAATCACGGTTGAGTGCATTATTGCACATATAATGATTCTCGAAACCTCTCCTCCTAAAAGTTTGTATTCCATTTTCTTCCCAGAAACAGGGTGAGCGCGAAAAAACCCTTGTCTTCTTATTTCAACTATGCATTCATTTACAAAATTGATTATAAAAAAAAAAAAAAAAAAAAAAAAATCTCAACGTCAGTTACACGCCTAAAGATTCTAATAAGGAAATCGAATTCTTAATCTATCACGAAAACCAATTAGATACACCAATCAAGTTTACAATCCAATCAACAAGACATCAAGAAGCAAAAGAAAACAGAAATTACCAGAAGAGAAATTCAAATTCTGCGAAGAGTTACACGAACACGAAGGAGACGAAGATGAAGGTGAGGAGGTGGACACTAGGGGTCCATGTCCTTGCGCAGTGTTCTTTAAGCCATAATTATGAGGATTGCCAGCTAATCTCGGAGAATAGCCGCAACGAGCGTGAATTAAAGAAGCCGAAGCCATCCGTGCTTATATATTAGCGCGTACAGTATACGTGCGAAGTAGGAAATGAACAAACACAGCCACGCAATATAGTAATGGAAGAAAATCCTTGAATCTCGCAATGAAATGTCAGCATCTGGACCATAACACAGTGTTATCCTGATAACCAAAGCACCATACACGAACTCCATACCCTCTGTTGCTCTGTTTTGTATTCTCTCGCATCATCGTCATCATCATCTCTTCGAGGGAAGAGAAAATCTACAGGAAATGATGAATGATTTTCTTACTAAATTTGGAGGAGTTTGGGATTCTCTGACAGTTGTGAATGATGACAAAGAGAGTAAGAAGGTAACAGAGTCTAGAGGAGAAGAATCTGGGTTTGAGCTGCTGAATTACAGTGTCTGTGACAGGAACCCGAAGATCGGGAACGAATGGAATCTCTTGTTCTCTTTTTTGGTCAAACTGAGGTGTGCGATTTAGACGGTGCGTTTTCAACTATATCTAATTGTTTTCAATATAAAATATAATATTTTATTTGAATTAGTTATATTGTAAAATAATATCTAGCATTGGGATTATAAAAAATGTTAATTATTATAATTATTTAAATAATATTACTATTTATAGAAACTATTCAAATAATTTATATTATTTCACAATATATTTTAAAATATTATAATTAGGTTTTAAATAATATTATTTAGATAATTATAATAAATGAATATCCTATTAAAGTTAGTAATTCTATTTCTTAATAATTACATTCCTTATTAGTAGATTGTGTCTCCCATGTGTGTTATTATTATAAGATTAATTATATTATTATTAATTAAAAAGATTATGTAATTATTCAAATATATGAACAACATTAAAAAAACAACTCCAAATTTCTAATATTAATTACAAAATTATTAATAAAATATTATATATAGCATTCTTCTAAGAAACAATATATCTCAATTTCAATTCAAATATATATTTGATTCACATTTTATATTTTAAAAAATACTTACCATCTGAAATAAAGAAAAAAATCGAGTCTTTATCTAAAAAAATGTGTTAAAAAATGATATATGTATAGAATTTTTTAACGAAATAGTATTTTTTCAACTATTTCAAAATAGAATTTAGTTCAAATATATATGTCATAATTTCTTATTTCGACATAGTATAAATATTTAAATTTAATATTTTTTTATATCTATTGTCAATATTAAGTAGCAATCAAAAATTTTTATCTATTTGTTATGATATTATGTATGGATTACGAAAAAGAAAAAAGAAAGAAATGAAAAAGAAAAATTACATTCAAAATAACAATTGAAAAGAATATAGTACATGATGTTATATAGATGGATATATATATATATATATATATATAGAATCACATGATTGAACATGCATGGGGATTATCATCGCTGAAGATGGTAGTAGCTTGGTGATGCTCGATTGGGTTGGAATTGTAAGGTGGAGGGTAGAAATGGTGAATATCATATAAGGATGGATTATATTGATTGTATGATGAATATGTAAGTAAAGCTGGTTGGATAAAGGCATTATGAGGGAAAGGCCAAAATTCTGCTCTCCTTCCAGTTTTACGCACCGTTTTAAGTACCTTCTTTCTATCTGTCCATCCCATCACCGTCACCTTCTGCATTCTCACGTCTATATCGATCTCATGAATTCCTGCATGCATGCACCACTTCTTTTAACAATCCCCTAAACTCATGTCTATATATATATATGTATGTATAAATCTACAATTTAAGGTTATGACTGTGTATATATATATATATATGTATATATGTATGTACCATCCAGTTTCTGTAGAGCCTTCCTTATCTTGCTCTCACAGCCAGCACAATCCATGTGGACTCTCATCTCTACAATCTGCAGGATCCATTATCTTAATTATACTACAAGAAAATATTCTATACACATATACATACGCGGCAGGATATTACAAACATATATTATATAGCGAAAGATAATTAAGCCTCATTTACATATTTTCCTTCGTAATAATATTTCCTCATGATTAATATTATATATGTCTAAAAAAGTTCATTTGCATATTATATCTATTGGTCCTCGGTATAATTAACTAACTACTACAAGGTAAATTAAAAATTTTACAAATTAATTTCAATTTTTTTTAGAAGAGAAGACATATCATATATAAAATACATGGGAAAAAGCTTAATAAGTTGGATTGATATATATGGCACCTGTGCCTAAAGGACATAATCAACAATATGTATATATATATAATTGAAATGTATGTATATACGTACATATACTGTAGGCGCATGAAGAAAATTAAAGACAAATTGAAGAAGTCTCACCGTCATGTTTGTTTTGTGTACTTTAGGAAGCTTATATATATATATATGAGTGTATTGGAATGGCAGGGGAAGAGAAGTAAGAAAAAGAGAAGCATATTGTCCATATTTATAGATGAGGCTAGGCCAGCCTGCATGCATATTTTTTGAAAGGAAAATAATAAGAAATTAGATAAGAAAGAATAAGTTTTAACTGAGGACTAGTGCCTATGGACCTGACTTTTTGGGATCTTCCTTCTTTTTTCCTTCGCTTTTCTTAGCCAACTTGACAAAAGCGTAATTGCCTGGATATTCCGAGGAAAATGCTTTCAAGTAAAATATCTATATGTGCATATATATATATATATATAACTAAGTACTATTCATACAAGTCATTATTAGATTATCGTAAAAGCTAATACTTATACGTTGCTAAATTCAACCATTCATTTTTTTCCTTGAACTTTTTCATATATGAAGTTCATAATTTCATATTTCTCTATAAATAATATAATAATATTGAGTCAGATTATGTAATTTATTTAATTTTATTTATGTACATGTACATATAATTTCGTTCTTAAAATACATAAAACTTTACTGAAAAATTAGAAATGTTATTTAAAACTATGATATACGTACGTAAGGCCACACTTTTCCCAATCGTGTAAGCTAACCAAAAAAATTGTATAGATTATTAATTCACAACATGTATGTGGTATAAATAATGAATTCATACATATTACTTATTGATATTTACGTATTATTAAAAATATAATATTATATTCTAATCATAACACACAAGACACATAACTTATTGCTAAAACTCATATTATTAAAAATAATAAAAGTACTCATTACATATGCAATATATAATTATAAGATTGGTATATACAATTTTTTTTAATCATAATATAATATATATCATTGATTACTAACGAAATCGACAAATATGAAAAATTTCAGTATAGAATTTAAAAAAAATTCTTTTATTATTATATATGCATAATCATAACGAACTATATAATTAATGTTACACAATTTAAATATATTATAGTATCAAGGGTAGTTTTCAAGTTTTCAACCATCACCGCCCAATTGATTATGCAAAAAGTTTGTACCCTTTTTTATACTAAATATCAAGATTTGATGAAAAACTTACTTTTCAAAAATAAAATAAAATAAATAATTAAAGTATCACAAACTTTACTGATTTTGACCTTAAAAAGGATCTAACCATGTGAATATCTTTCTTATAAAATGTCATAAATACCCTTCTTCTTATGTTTTTAAATAAATTATTAAATTAATTTTTCAATTTGGATAATTATTATAATTTAATTTTTAATATATTTTTATTAGAATTTAATAAATAATATTTTTTATTTTTCTCACACGTTCAATTTATTCTATTTTTTAATAAAAAATTTTAAAATGTTTAGTTTATATTTTTTAATAAATATAATATGATTTTATAGAATAAGTGGTTATGAATATTTATAAAAAAAATAATATCTTATGGTGGAGGGTAATAGTAGTGACATTTGATTATGTGGAAAAAAAGGTGGTAGAGTATGATTAGAATGCATGAGAAAGGAATGTGGAAAAATATATGTGGGTAAAAATAAAATTCTAGGATTGCATCAGGTGAACTACTGATATTAGGAACAAAATTAGTTTTTTGGTGAAACCCTTGGCTTAGAGGGGGATTGTTCAAAGATTAGTTTCTCCGTATCTATATTATTTCACAATACAGAGATATCACGATTGTTTAGTCATTCAATGATTATGGAAAAAAAAAAGAGGTGACATGTGAAAAATTACGAAAAATCTCAATAAGTAGAAAGTTAATGATTATGAGACTATCTCAATTAATCGGAATAATGAACAACCAATTTAGAATCTCATTATCATAAAGTCTTTTTCGATCTGATTTTTTTTTATTATTTAATTAAAAATGACACTATAGAGACATTTTTTTTTTTGGTAATTTTAGAAGATTAATGTTCTATCAAGTGTTGTTTTATTGGCATGGAAAATAGATCATGGGTGTATCCTTACTATTAGAAAACTAATAAAAAAAAAAGAAAATCTTTCGCTAAATAGTTATTTTCTATGCAAAACGTAAGGTGAGTCTTGTAATCACATCCTTTTTTTAGCGTTCGAATACACATATTTTATGGATCATGGCTTATGAATTATTAGGAATCAATTAGACGATAGTTGATTCGGTAAATGAAAAGACTTGGGTCTAGAATAGTATTAGTGGAGAGAAGAAGCATGTAAACCTTATTCTTCGTATTATTTTTTGGGTGGTGTAGAAAAAAAGGAGCATGAAACATTTTGAAGAGGTAGAAGATAAATTTAATAGGATTAAAGATAGGTGATTTCATATCCTAAATTTTTTTGTTACAAGACATCGTCTTTATACAATTGAGAATTATGAGAACCTCATGATATACCATTAATATATAAACACTTTTTTTATAAATGGATTAACACTTCCTTAGTGCTTGTGAATTACGAAATCATTCTATACTTTTGTTTTCAATGTGTACATATTATATATATATATATATATATATATATATCTCCCCCATTTCTTGTCATATAATATGGTATGAGTAATACTCTGCCAAAAGAACATTCACTTTGCTTGCATTTAACTTATTATTTTTTAAGGATTCCATAATACTACTTTTGTATGCTAAAATATTGTCCAGAAATATAGTAACAAAATTTTGTAGATGTTCATAATTGCTTAAAATATTTGATATCTAACAATATAAATAAAACTTTAAAATCAAGTAAACACAGAACCAAAACCTGTAAATTACGGTAAGAAAAATTTTGGAATGATCATAATGTGTCTTGAATACTGTATTCACAACTATTGACTTTATGCGAATCTTGTGGCATTCAAGTGGTGGGTCAGAGTTCAAAGTAAACATTTTTTTCGATTTATTCAGTAACTCAATAATTACTTGAAATATTTGATGTCTAACAATATAAAGAGAACTTTGAATTCGAGTAAACATTGGACAAAAGTCTGTAAATTATGTTAAGAAGAACTTTTGAATGGTCATGATGTGTCTTAAAGACTATATTCACAACTATTGACTCTATGCGAATCTTGTGGCATTCAAGTGGTGGGTCAAAGTTCATAATAGACTTTTTTTCCGATTAACTTAGTAACTCAATAATTGTTTAAACTATTTGATGTCTAACAACATAAATAGAACTTTGAATTCGAGTAACGTTGGACCAAAGCCTGTAGATTATGTCAAGAACTTTAGAATGCCCATAATATGTCTTGAAGGCTGTATTCATAACTATTGACTCTATGCAAATCTTGTGGCATTCGAGTGGTGGGTTAGAGTTCAAAGTAGAGCTTTTTTCCGATTTACTCAGTAACTCAGTAATTGCTTGAAATATTTGATGTCTAACAACATAAATAGAACTTTGAACTCGAGTAAACGTTGAACCAAAACCTGTAGATTATGTTAAGAAGAACTTTGGAATGGCCATAATGTATCTTGAAGGCTGAATTCGCAACTATTGATTCTATGCGAATCTTGTGGCATTCAAGCGGTAGGTCAGAGTTCAAAATAAACATTTTTTTCCGATTTACTCAGGAACTCAGCAATTACTTGAAATATTTAATGTCTAACAACATAAATAGTACTTTGAACTTGAGTAAATGCTGGACCAAAGCCTGTAGATTATGTCAAAAAGAACTTTGGAATGACCATAATTTGTCTTGAAGACTGTATTTGCAACTATTGACTCTATGCAGTTCAAAGTAGATTTTTTTTCCAATTTACTCAGTAACTCTTCAATTACTACACTGAAAAATTCCTCATTTTCTGTCCATCAATTAATTGCTCTGTAATTTAACCACATACTCCAAGACTCATCTTTTCTCTTGACTTACACAATAGGGGATGCAAACAAACTGGTATTATGTTGGATCATCCCATTGTTTAACAGTCTAGAGTACATCCTTGAATAATCCCAGATGGGTTATAAGTGTAGGATATGTATCCCTTGTTCACCAACAATTAATGGGAACAAAAATTTTATGAAGATATAAGGGAGATAAAGAGATATAAAATAAAATCAAGTTTCTTCTATTCATTCAAACAAAATGACTACAGGTCCTTTATACCTTGCTATTAACTAACACCCCAACTAATTCTGATATTTCCTTGTTCCTTATTCCTTATTCCTTACCCATATATTTTCTGTAGAACATGCAATCACTAATATTGTTCTACAGAAGAGTAGAACTTAACACGCAAGATATATATAAATGATTTCTTGTCCTTTCTACCTCATACTTGATTCTAACTCTCTTTCATGTGCATCTTTGGCTTTTAGCATTTGAGTGATGAAATAATCAAGTTATAGATTGAAAAAGTTTTTGATTTCAACTTCTTTTCCATGTGGGTATGCTGACCTGTTTCAGAAGACTGCAGAAAATAAACAGAAAATAAGACAACCACCCAAAACACGAGCTCTGAAAGAGCTGAGCGAGAAGCTACCGGTCTTGCTTGTAAAAGTAGCCGGACAAAGGATCACAGCAGCCTTGTTCTGCAATAACGCAGAAAATATCCAGAAAAAATAGAGCAGCCACCCAACAATCAGCAAGGACCTGTAGCAGCCTTGTTACGGAATAACGCAGCAAATACTAGAAAAAATAGAGCAGCACTCCACACATCAGAGAGGATCTGCTGCTGGATCTGCAGCAGCCTTGTTCCGGAATAATGCAGCAAATACTAGAAAAATAAAGCAGCACTCCACACATCAGAGAAGATCTGCAGCTAGATCTGCAGCAGCCTTGTTCCGGAATAATGCAAAACAGAGCAGCATGCCAACCACATCGGAGAGGGTCTGCAGCAGCCTTGCTCCAGAATAATGCAGAAAATATCCAGAAAAACTAGAGCAGCAATCCAACCACAACTGCATAAACAATTACCATGCATAATATAAATAATTATATAACTGCTATCATGTGAACATCTGTAACTTGCTATCATGCATAATATAAATAATTATATCAATTATCATTCGGTAAGGAAACATATATCATGTTCCTTTAAACTTAGATTGACTCACATAAAACATCATGCATGGAACACATGATGTGAGAAAAGCCCATTGATGATTCATCCAAGCTAAAGTTCAAACCTAAAAGTGGACACCAGCATTAGACAGCGGATACTATAGATAGATACCAGATGCCTAGAGGTAGATATAGATGAGGTCTCACTCTCCTAAAGCTAACTGATTCGAAAGACACAAACCAAGGGAGAGCCAGACTTAACAACGGACGAAGCCAAATTTAAGATCATCACGCCAAGGTTAAGATCACCATTCTGTCTGCAGTGAAGACACACTTGAAGTGGTAGGCATGCACATATCTTGTTACGCATGCGCCTATAACAGATATAATTGTCTGAAAAAGGCTCTTAGGTGGTGATTCTAGAACGGAAAAAATTCTAAGGAGGCTATAAGAGAAAAAAAAAAACAATTATACAGTGAATAAAAAGAAATAAAAAACCCTGAAGAGGAAAAAGACAATAAATGAAAAAAAGCTAGAATGATAACAATAGAACGGAATCACCTTACTACCAAAAGCTATTTAAGTAATTTATACCAAACTTAGAGCCCTAAAAGTAGAGCTAAGGTAAAAAATTTTAAAACGGACATAGAGAAGCTCTATTGTAATAAAAATTAACTTAAACCTATTTTCTCCAAGGTCAACAATTTTAGAGGAAAAAAGTAGTCAAACTCTGTCAAATTAATCCCTCAACTAAAACTTGGTTTTCTGCACAAAGCATACCTAGAATACATGTATTAAACTGAAGCAAAATCCTAAGGCTAAGAAAAGCCCTCCCAATTGGTAGAACCCACACATATTTTATAAAATCCTTTTTATTTTCACTAACTAGAAAAACTTCATTTTTTTGAAGAGAAACTATCTTAAATAAAACTTAGTTATCTACGAGAGAAGTTTGTGTCAGATATTTTGTTGGCATCTGCACTCTTCTAACTCAAAGCTTGCATATGCTCGAAACTCTATCAAACCATCACTACATCTTAGGACTTGTTTTTTGAAAAAATAAAATTTGAATGGCCATACTTATCTAGAATATGTCTGCTTAATCATGTCTTGCAGCATCTTTCCTTAAACAAAAAGGATTTTTCATGAATGTCTAACTAGAAGGTTATCGCTGCAAAGGGGCTAATTCTCATTAGTTTCTTTCTTTTTAGTATTAAGATGCAATTCCAAGCACGAGCACAGTATCATGTAGAAGGCATCACAATAAACCAAGCTCGGAAAGAAAATCAAAGGCAAGAATACATATGCTAAGCCAATTTGTTATGGGGGGAAGAAGTTAGAAATTTTCCAAATTGAATCACCCGAACATATCCTCTAATTTTGGACTGAAACTAACAAATAAGCAAAAGATCCTCCAATGGAATACAAATCCTAAATAGACTACAATATAGTATATATTTTTCATGTGAACATGGCCATAGATCACTAGGCTCTAAGCACCAAAAACAATTAGCAGCTTTCATATGTTCATCATCTGCCCAAAAATAAGTTCAAAAGTTGATTACATCTTATTCAATGATACTTGTGAAAGTAAATTAAGCAAAATTATTGGTCATTGTTGAATAGAGTTAACAACATTGGATAATTGATTGCACAAAATAAAAAATTGAATCCTTACTTGTAAATTTTGGCAAATTTGGCCTTACAATGCATTTAACTAATCAATATTAAGAAAAGTTATATTTTATCACCAAAAACTATACAAAAACCACCACTTATTTTGATACTGAATAAAAAAACACCTTATTTTACAAACTGACATAGATTTTGCCCCTTATTTATTTTGTTCAAGATTCTGTTAAGTTTTTTCCGTTATGACTCACTTCAAAGTATATTGCTGATATCCAACATACCATCTACCACTTAAATTCCAAAAACAAATAGAGTTATTTTTGTTCAAGAAAAACTATGTCTTCACATTCTCAATATCTTTCCTCAAAAGTCAACTCTATAAAAGCTCCATGGAAGAAGGGATTTTGACATATCGATCTGTCAACATATTGATTTCATCATTACTTAAGAGTATTATTATAGTTTAGTAATTTAGGATTTTAGTTCTTATTAGTATATTCATATTTCTATTAAGATTAGTATTCCTAATATCATTAGTATTAGTCCCTATTCTTGTTAGGATTAGTATTTTCAATTCTACTAGTTTACTATTTCTATTTTAATTTTACTAAGGTTGAAATTATAATAAATAACTTGTAGTTTCATTTATTAGAACATCCAATTATTCAATAATATTTTGAGAGTTTCTCAATTTTCTGGTTGTGATACGATCAACCCTTAAGTGTGATACTTAAGACTCCTTACATGTGATGTCCAAGAAATGCTAGGTGTGATGTCTATGTTTTTTATCTCCAAGTTCCTAACTGGACACTCAATTTGTCCTACATCACTTAGTATGTCTGAATAAGGCACTTTCATGTTTATAGTCACACCTTTAACTAACCAGGTGGTATAAAACCCAAAAAGTGGCAGAGAAGGATGAAAAGAAGGGATACCAAGAGGGAATCAAGATGGCAGTCTCCCTTCTTGCAGAGTTTGGTCTTCCTCTGGGACTCTTCCCTCTTGCTGATGTTATTGAAGTAGGGTTTGTGAGGAGTAATGCCTACACGTGGATTCTGCAAAAGAAAAAAATAGAACAGAACTTCGAGATGATCAGCAAGCTTGTCAACTAAATTGCAAAGTGAAATACAGAGTATAAAAAGGAAACTCTTGAAAGAAATACATAAGGGAGATTTCATCTGTAAACCAAGTCAACAAAATTGAATATGTAGTTGCTTCACATATCCAAGGAAAAAGCTAAATACTTGGCTTCTCAGTTTCATAGTCATTAAATATAAATTGAGGCTGAACATGAAACAGGACTCTTTACTTACATAAGATCCATTGTTTGGCCAAAAACATGTTAGGTCAATAACAGATTGATTGCTCTGTCTGGTTATACCACATCACTCATTATCAGTACATACTCAAGCATTTTAGTTTAATAGATAATCGTGCAAACCATCTTTCCTCACCAAATGCTTCTAATTGAGAACAAAAACTAAACTTTAAGTAAAAAGTTATCATTAGAAGAAAAAACGTTTTCTACAAATCTTCTAAGAGGGAATGCATCCTTCAGCAAAAAGCTTGTAATGGGAATGCATCTTTCAGCAAAAAGAATCTAATCCACGTCAATAACAACAGCAGGAAGATGTTGAGTTTTATAACATAATAAAGCAAGATTGAAGTAAAACACTAACTCAAATAAACACCAATCCATGTAACTTAATATGAAGGAAAGGAATTAACGGATAAATGTAAATTTGCCACTTATAGACAAGTCATGGTGGAATAAAAAACAAAATCAGAAGAGATAATCCAGTAAGAGCTTCCATTAAAAATGCCAATTGTACTCTCAAAACTTCATGAACTTGTGAAGTACAATGGGTACTGATGTAATGTTGTAGTAGCTGTGAAATTAAATGTGATCTACAAGAAGATCAACCAACTTTCTTTTTTCTGTAACTAGTAAGAGCATACATTAAAAATCTGCTCCTAGGCCTGCTTTGTAGTTACTAAATTTCTTACAAGTAAATTGCAAGAATAATTCCATCAATGCTCCAACACGTCCAACATCCCATCAATAGAAACATGCAAGTCCAATAAAACATTATAGTGTCCCTTCTCAATTTCCTCCTCTTTCACCTTATGGAGAAGGAGAATTTCAATAATTAAATCCTCCCAACCAATCTCACTAGCTACAGCTCTTTTCCTCTTCTTCCCGGCATTTATGGAACTAAGAGCGCCAAAATTGCTATTATCAGTATCTGAAGGATGCATGATGTTATTAATTCGAATCTTGGCCACCTTTATCCTTTCCCTCCTCCTCTCAAGCACCATGCAACCCTTAATGTAGGATGGAGGCAAGGCATCCAAACCCACATCACTCTCTATTATTTGCTTCAATAAAAGCTTCTTGCTCAATTTTGATTGTCCATTCCACCAATCTCTGCATGCACGAAGATCAAAACTTTCTCTCCTACCATCGACACTTCCATATTCCCCTGTAAACTTACCACTGTCCACCTCATTTGCAAACTTTTTATAAATAAGAGACAAGGACTCGGGTGAAATCCTAGACTGCTCCAAGTCATGATTGGTCGAAGTGGTAACTGCGTTTTCATCTCCCACATCAAAATACCGAGATTCGCTTTCCACTCTGTGATCATTACTCCAATAGCCAACATCTTTACTCAAGCACTCCCTAAGCACATCTTGCAAATCAAACTCATTCGGATCCAACTCATTATGGTCATTACAATGCTCCTTCATGGACCTTGCCTCCATATAACTAATTACAATAGGCGCATGCTTTACAATATTCTTTACAGTAACATCCTTTCCCCAGGGCAAATCCATCTGGTGAGCAACCTTCACAAGCTTCTCTAAAAGCTCCTTGTACCGCTTCCTACAGGTCACTACGGCAACATGGACATACTTAACCACCTCCTCAATCCCCAACTTAACACCATTCAACTCGGCAACGAACACCAACACGGCCACCACCAGTGGCAATGGTCTTCTTCCTGTAGACAAAAACCAAATTATAGAACAATTCAACAAAAATATACCCTGCCTCTTAATCCGCTCCATCTTATCTCTGTCCAACCTGTCTAAAACTGACAAATTCTTCACCAACCTCAAGAACGACTCCACATAATCAAACTCCGGCAGTTTCACGCCCAAATGCTCGACAACTCGGTTAACCATTCTTCCTAACTCATGTTCATCGCAGCCAACGGCGGCTGCAATCTCTGCCATTGGCATAACCTTGTCATCACTCCTCATCACGACATAAGTACAAGCACCCACAAAAATAGGAAACCAATTGCCCAGGCCAAACTCACCATCAGTGATTTTACTTATCATGTTTCTGATCTCTTCGCACTTCGAACCGGTTAAACCGAATTGCAACATCAAATGATCGATTATCTTTTGTGCCTCAAATATCTTTTTGTCTTTGTAGTTGAGGACAGAACCCGTACCTATGGAGCCGTGGCGGATATTGGTTCCTTGTGGACCATCGAGTCCATAGAGCTGAGCTTGGTAGTTGTCAAAGGCCTGCAAGAAACCGCAGTCCGAGCAGACGAGGTCCCCGGTTACATCGTCGCGGACTAGGGAGTCGTTTCTGCATGCTGTGCAGGGCATTGTGAGATTCCAGGACTTGATCCTTTCCGTTATCGTCTTTGTGGAGAAAATTCGTGAAGGAAATTAGGGCTGAGAAGGAATTCGCGCTGTAATTATTTAAAGCCGAGCGTCACGCTAAAATCCTTCCGTTTCCTGTATTGACACGAACACCACCTACGTGCAAAAAAAATCACTAAATAATTATTCAACATCGTGAATTATAAGAAAAAAAAAAATTTTAAAAATTAATTTAAATAAAATTAAATAAAATTAAACAAAAAGAAAAGAGATGAAACTATTTTCCCGCACACCCGATAAAATAAGGGAGCCTCAAGCACCTTCATTTTATGGGAAAAAAAAAAAAAAAAAAAGAGCTTAAACCTTGAAAATGCTTATTTTCGACATGATTATGAGAAAAAGCTTGTGCTTTTTTCCATAAGATCAGCATCATCTTGCAGGTCAAAATGCCTATAATGTATATATATATTATAAATAAAAGAAATACTGTCAAAGCTTGAACCTTGAAATGCTTATTTCCACCATCTGCTCAAAGAGAAGGAGCTTAAACCTTGAAACTGCTTATAAATTTCCAGCAAGGAATTACATTTACAAAAAAGCATGTCAAACGTAGCACATTTTCTGTAAAATTTTCCAATCCTTTCCCTATCGTTGAAGGAGAGATGAAAGAAAAGCTGAAATTCGGTTGTGTACCTACAAAGCCTGAAGCGAAGCACTGTTGGAGAAGCACGAAATCAGGAATGCTGGAAGCAGACGCTAGTTTGCCCGATCTCTTGAAGCCTGAAGACCTAAGCTACGGGGAGATGAAACTTGGGACGGAAGAGAAGCTATTTGGAGTTGAGGAAGAGACCAAATAAACCCTTTTGAAAAAGATGAAGGAGCTGAAACGCCTGAAGCAATGACAAAGTGTTGTGTGAGAGACGGCGACAGTCAAGCCCGACCCAATTTCTTTGTTTTTTTTTTATTGAGACTAAGTGGAGTTTGAAATATAATGACTTTAATTTAATAGGATGGATTCTGAAATTTATGGAGTAGCTTTAAAACTAAATAGGCTTGCAATAAGGACCTAATGGGCTTTTTTATGGGCTTAATGGGCTTTAAAGTTTAATGTCTCTAATTGGCTCAATTGGTCTGTAAAACAAGCCATAGGATTGAATTTTACCTTGGTGATGGAAGCATGGGGCAATTTTTACTTAATAAAAATGCATGGGTTTTGTAAAAGTTTACCCTTTTGAAGAAAAAATAAAAGCAACATCTTATGCATTATAGTTATACCCATTAAAAAAAGAATATTCATTTCACTCAATTATATCGTAGTTTGCTGAAATTAAACTTAATTTGGTCACTGCAAGCTTACCAACATACTAAATGAGCTAACGTCTAATCTCATTGAATCAAATATTCTAAATTTATAACTATCAACTTAGAATGCATTCACGAAATAATAAATTATATATATATTTTTTTATTAATATTCGAATGTATAACTTATTTAAAGTATAATAATATTAATCATTAAATAACTATGTCAATGATAGTTTATAAAAGTTGCACCTATATAAATTATTTTTATATATAGAGAGTTTTTTTTAGAGTGAAAATTAACGAGAGAAGTAGGGAATTAACTTGTACAATTAAAATTCTTTTACCTACATATAACTCTAATACCGGAATTTACTTTAGTTATTTAATGTTTGATACTATAAATTAATTTTCTTGTAGATAATAAGATACAATAAGAATTTCGATAAAAACAACACTTTAATTTCAAGTTAATGTCTTACCTAATCAAGTTAAGTAGTGTTTGGATTCTTCACAAATAGAAATACAAGTTCTATCATTATATAAATGAGTGAAGTTGAATTCATTACACATTAAATATATATATATATAAATTATAATTAATTTTTAAAAATTAAATAATAAAAATATAAAAAAGTTAAATAGAAATAAAATTGACTGCCTTCTCTTGAAAAGCCAAAAATACACTTGGGGTTAAGAATAGTTGTCTCATCTCTATCTTGGGGTCATGGGACAATAGAGCTTTGAGTTCCTTTCGAAAACTTGTATTCATTGACATCAACAATGTGATTAATTAAAAAACAAGTTAAGACTAAGATAATAAAGAAAACTTTGCTTCCACATACACCCAAGAACTTTTGATTGGGAGCTAGACTTTCTTTTAATTAATTAACTAGTGGGGGTTGACCAACTATCTCTTATCTTATATATATATATATATATATATATATATATATCAATTTTCTCACATGATACAAAATAAATATTTTCTAATTCTTGTGGCTGTCTGGATTCAACTCATTGATGATAAGATTGTAGTTGATTGAAA